TCGCTCTGTTAGTACGTCGTATGCTTCGTTGATCTAATTAGTTTATTTGGCCCGTCTATCACCAACATAGGCCAATCAGCTAACCAGTATTTTCGCCCCTTCCCAAAATTACTTCAACGGAAGTAATCAGGTTATCTTCTTCCCTCCGTTAAAGACACTTCATCCCAGCGCTGCGTGTCCTGGGCCCGTAACATCATCAATGACCCCCCCTGCCACCATGGACAGTTCTCCCTGCTGCCCTCTGGGAAGAAGCTTCGCAGCATCCGATGCAGAACCAGCAGATTCTGTAACAGCTTTTTCCCAGCTGCTGAAACTCTGATCAAGACTCTGCATCACACTGGAAAAAATATTTGCACAATCAAAGCGGCTTTTTTTCATAATCCCTTTGAAGGTATACTATGCAACCGGTGTTGATTTTCCAGCAAGGCTCCCCCCAGAGGGCGAAAGTAAAAGTGCACTGTCATAAATATGCACAGCTGTTCTCCTGGTTTCTCCGTCAAGCCAGGCGCGGTTGTTTTGAGCTTAGCAGACAGGCGAACGCAACGAATCACCACGTCTACTGCGGTAAGTGACTATTTTGTTCCAATGTTCGAGTTTGAAAATTTAGCATGTTTTCATAAATTATTTGTTATGCATGTGTCTAAATAACAATGATTGTACTTAGCAAAGTTGGAGTTTCCCATACATTTATCCGACTGATAACTGCACAAATATCGCCACTGCGCTAGCAACGAGCATGCCTTCCACTGGGGCCGTGTAGCAGTTCTCGCCGTAAAGCAAGACCGACTCTCGTGATGCACGAGACTTCTGAGCCTGTGGGTGCGGGCCGAGGGCTCCTGCAATTGCAAGTACGGTATTTCCCCTACAGACCACCAGGGCGGCCGAGAAAACCTTTGTTCGACCTGAAATGACTCATTTAATCATCCAAAACGTTATGGAACACATTAATTAACTGAAAAATTTTGCATAGTATGCCTTTAAATAGAACAAAACTCAATGTTCTACTGCATTTTGCACCATATTTATTTGCACTTAACCTTTCCATATCAATGCCCTTTGCACCATGACTTTAAACAGTTTTTTCCTTTTCTTCTACACTGTTCACATTGTTGATCTCTGCAATGTTCATTTCCCTGTTGTAAGCTGCTTACTGACTGTTGAAAAGCTTCATGCAACGAAATATGGTTTTGTGTAAACTCTGTGTTTACAAAATGACCATAAAGTGCGTCTAAGTCAAAGAAAGACCGTGGCTCTACGAGGTGCTGATTTAGAGGTGGTTGAGTCGATGCCTACCACACAACACAATGTTTATTTTTATTTATTATCAAAAAAATGCATTAAATCGTCCGGCCGATTCACAAAGTGCACTATTTACGGTTTGATCTTTCCCATAAAATCCCAATAAAATGTATTAAAGGTTTGTCAAGTCACAAATGCAGTGGTACGCACACACTTCAGAAACTAATCTAAAAACCAGTACAAATTTCTCTAAATAAAGGTTTGATCTTAATTTGAGCAGGTAAATAAAATGATCCGTCAATGGAGGGATGAATTTAGTCCTTAAAATAAGATAATTAGATTATTTATTTACCTATTTTAAATGTAAATCATCGTACTCCATTGGCACATTGTCTCTCCTGCTCAAATCAGAGGAAATAAAGTTCATTTAAGAAAAATGACTTCTTATATTTCCATATTTGCAGTCAAGTTTGAAGTGTTGATGACACAATATTGACATTTCCTAGTTTTTATTGTAAAATGTAAATATCGATCCTCAATGTAATAATTTCAAGTGCACCTGAATAAAATAGTTTTTAATCCAAAAACCGCTGCCATTGAGAGGACTCTAGTGCCGCTCAGTGACTGAGGGAGAAAACGGGAGTGACGTATGCGGTTGGTGGGTGAAGCGGGTCAGATGAGATCAGCAGAAGTTGGAGGACTTTCCAGCTTTTTTTATTTTTAGTCATAACACTGTACAGAAGTACAGAGCAACGAAATTCAATCTCTGCTTTTAACCCATCCCCTTGGGGAGCAGTGGGCTGCCATTGTGGGGTAAAGGGTCTTAAGGAACCCAGAGTGGCAGTCTGTGGGAGTGGGAACCCAGAACCTCAGGATTCCAAGCTTTATCATTAAACCACTAGGCCGCCACTCCCCTTCATGGCTTCTCTACTGAGCTTGGAACATTTTGTAAAGGAGGTGTTCCCTCTCTGAAGACTGGTTGGTTGGTCAGTAATTGTTAAAGCTCACAGCTGCCAGCAGCCGCACCTATGGCGTCCCCCTGGGGGGAGAGAGCGATCATTAGGCAGTGTCTGAGTGAGACATGGACTGATTGTTATTAAGGACCTGCAAATGTCGCTCCCAGATGACACTGAGGTGACAGAAATTTTTAAGTACAGTGGACCCTCGCTATAACGCGGTTCACTTTTCACGGTCTCCCTGCTTCACAGATTTGCATCATGCATTGTTAAACTTTATTGTAAAATATATTAATGGTGGCATGTCGGTTTATTAAGGATCTTTTGGCCCAGAAGAAAAAAGAGCGACAACAACTACCGATAACTATGTTCTTCTCTCCAAAAAACACACCTGCACCGCAGGCTTTAGAAGAAAAAAACGCCACAGAGCGGCACTGTACTGTACATGCGAGTCCATATTTGTCCTACTGTACTTTGTATTGTTTTTCTCCCCTGTTCCAATCCGTCACGGTGGGGCGGTGCTGATCCCCGCAATATTAACCCTTTAATTCGTATTGATGATTAAAATTATTACTTATTTATTTATAACAATATTATTTTACAGTACAGTACAGTAGTTATTTGTAAAAAAAAAAAAAAACACAATAACCTGGGCCTGTAAAAAGATTTTGTTCCTTGATTTCAATGTTTTATAAAGTATTTCATTGTATAATAACTGTAAAAAAAATAAAGGTTTCTACTTCACGGATTTCGCCTATAGGGGGTTCTTTTTGGATCCTAACCGCCGCGATAAACGAGGGTTCACTGTATACAGAAAACAACCAGAGGCTGATGTGGAGCTTAGATCATAGATTGCTGTTGCCCCGACAATGATGTTATGCTAACTGTTTTTAGCTTCTGTAATAGTGAAGGCTAACCTCATAATAAAATAAAAAAAACTTGGCTCTGTATCAGGTGTTGTATAGGTTAATGGTTTTAACAGAAAGTTAAGAGGAATAAATGCTGTTATTTGTTGAGGTGGGGGGGTTCATGTTGTTTTTGGGTTGGAAACGGGCAGATCTAACAAGTGAAGGAGGGGTGGAGTTGCTAGCTATACCTTTAAAAATATAGTAGATAGTTTCTTGTAAGAGTGGTGGAGGATTCATTTGAAAATCATTTTAATTTAAAGTATTATATACTAATTACAATTTTATAAACTAATAACTGGTTATACTATCTGTACCAGAGGCGTTTCAAACCGTGTGTCATCTATCTGGTGCTTTCAGTTATATTAGCATTACCCTCTGGCTCAGAGTCTGAATCTGTAGGCCAAAGGTCCGGATGGACGGTTCTGACCTGGAAGATGTGATTCCTCCGTATTCCTCAGCATCGCTACCTTCTGCTGAACTGGAACTGGTTCATGGTTCAACCACGCAAACCAGTTCCACACTAGATGTTCTGGGACAACCATCAGTGTTTCTGCTAGCTATTTCCAACGGTGTTCTCCGTCTGATGTTAGCAGAGATATTTTTACTACCTGTTAACCCTTTATAGGGCACTCAGTGAAATACTTTGAAAATCAAAATTTCAGGCCAGAAGTGTTATTAAAATCCAGGAAAATGACCTTATTACTTTTCTAACATTTAAAAAATATGGATATTTTGATGGCAAAATTAATGTCAATAAAACAACAAGAAATGCCAACTTGCCAGAATATATAAAAAAAAAAATAACAGAAGTGCTTCTATAAGAAATTTGTGAAAAAAAACTCATGAGATTAAACGAAACAAGTTTGTTTGGTCCAACATAACCCTAAAGGGGATTAATGCAGATACTGGCACTTACATTTTTTTAGTTTATAAACCTAAATATAATTGTTAACTCGGCTTCTTTACTTTTTAACTTTTCAATTAGCTTTTTTTTTCTTGACTTAACTTTGTTTTTTCCAACTTAATTTACAGTAGGTAATATATCATTCAATGGCTCATCTAATTGGTGAAATGCCAAATAAAGATGCACAGCCATGTAGAAGGATCTTTGCTGAATGGTTGGATATAGATCTTGTCCTTCTAGACGCCATTTTTAAGGGGGATGCAAGTGATCAAAAACGGTAACTTGACCTATAATCAGAGTGCTGCTGTGGAGCTCCTAAATGTTTTATTAAAAATAAGCCTGTTTGATACATAAAAAATCACGACCTGCTTTGAAATCAATATGGCATCATCAACACTTTAAGCTCTGCATGTAATGCACGAGGGTTTAAAGTAAAAGGAAAGCCAACAGGCAGCTGAGCTACTTTGTGGGGAAGTTTATGATGTGTAGTGATCCACAGGGGAGTCATGCATGTCATGCGAGTAGAACGTTTAGTTCCCATCAAATCTCCAAAAACAACCTGTGACATCACAGTAAGATGACTGCAGGCCTGTAGCCAGTTAGCAAATATTATGACATGCAAAATCCCAGACTGTGCAAGTGACTGGGTCCAGATCTGTGCTGGTTCTGAAGGGTCTCCATCATGCAGGGATAGGGGCAACAAGGCCCCCCCCGCCACAGCAGCCGTTTGAGACCTCCTACCGCAATCTTTTTGTCCTTCCAGTTTATCGTTTCCTGAAGGTCAAACACCTCTCTGGTGAGGCCGTCTAACTTAGTCTGCGTTCGCTGGCTCTCCTGGAGCGGCGTTGAGCGATTGTGGGAGAACACGGGACAAGAACAGGAGAAGATGAGTGGAACAGAGATGAAAACACCAAGAGAAACCAAGGCAGAAGTAGGTGAAACAAGGCGAGAACAGATGGCTGCTGGTAATAAAGGATTAATCAGGTAAATGGAGGCAGACGGCAGCAGGATGGGAGAGAACAGAGGCAGCCTGGCGCCAGAGAATCCTTATCAAATTCCTCCAGAACAGATCCCCTCCTGCGATCTGCACTGAAGCAACAACACCTTTAAAGGTGCTGACAGGATCATTGCAGGGCAGAAACAGTTTGTCCTTTTCAGTCTCTACAGCCGTACCTCTATAAGCTCGTCTCTCTGCCGGATTCCCTCTTTCAGCTCCTCCTGTTTATGCTGCAGGACTGAACACGTGTGCTTCTGTCTCTCTAGGTCCTGAAAGAACAGATAGAACGTCTTAATCCAAACTCCGAGGCCCGAACCAGAGTTCAACCGGACGTTCCAGCTCACCTTTGACTTCTCGTCCAGCTCCCTCCTCATCTCCGCCATCTGTTCCTCCATCTCCTCGATGACGTCCTTCAGCGTGTCCACCTGATAGATCAGGTTCCCTTTGTCGTTGTCCAGCTGTGCGTTCGACACCATGGCTTTCTTGTACTTCTCTTCCACTTCTGTAAGCGACTCCTGATGCGAGGTGGGAAACGGGTTTAAAAAGGCAGGCAGTGGTTTAAAAGCTCTACTTACTGATTCGACAGTTAAAAGTTAAAAGATTTTTTTTATCTCACATTAAAATGTAATCTAAACAAATGTTGCAAACATAGAAGAGCATCAGATTAAGAATACACCCCTTCAACATTTCTTACCTCCATGCTACTATTTCATCTCTTTCCATCAATATTTCTGGAAACAAATAACATATACCCCTGCAATAAAGCGTCAAAGTGCTAGATATCAGCCAATATCTACGGTTAAGCTGAATATTTACTGAAGATATTATATTCAAACTCAAATTTCACGGCTTGGTTCTGGTTTGAACCCATTTAACACGATAAATTATAAGAGACTAAAATTTCAGTATTTTACTTGGATTTTATCTGATGGATTCACAAAGCAAAGATTAATGATGATGGTTTTGTAATGTTGATACATTATTCTAAAAACTGTTTTCCCTCAGAGCTCCATCAGTGAAACAAGCCCGGCTCTGTGTGGATCCAGCTGCCTCATGCTGCGTTCACACCGGACGCAGCAGGAGCAGCAAAATCGCGTCTGCTGCTTCATTTTTGCTGCTTGTACCAGTTTAGTTCTGACGCGCGGCTGAAGCAGCTTAGCTGCTCTGGCTGCGCGGTGCAAAAGTGTGTCTGACGCGCGTTGGGCGGAGCTACTCTATCCTTTCTTTGCCTTGCAGCTATATTTGCTGTGATCAGTGGGAATAAAGTAGTTTTAATATGTTTTTAAGTGAGAAAATCCACCTGAAAACTTAATCAGTGCAGTCAGTTCATCCAGATTATAATCCTGCCTTCCAATATTATTTCTGTCGTAGCCGCTCAGACCCCCACATACCAGCGGTGCGCTGTCAGTAGGAATCCCATTCAACAGCAGCCTCTGGCCGGGTCGCCTCCTCGCGGTTCACCACGGCAGCTGGAAGGTGTTTTTCATCTAAATAATCCAAACTTCAGGCACCAGGATAATAAAAGCGAACATATTCTGCTGGCAGATTTCTGCATTTTAAGTTAATTTAGGCGTTAATAAAGTGTTTCAGAGGAGCAATCACAGCGCTCTGTATCATCAGCGATCTGTCTGTCTCGCTGTCAGCTCCCAGATCAGCTTCTCTGATTGGTTGACGCGGCGTGTCGAGCAGCAAAAGTTAAATTTTTCCATCTCGAGCAGCAGCAAGTTTGCGGTGCATCAGATGCTTAAACGCTCTGCTTCAGCTGCTCAGACGCGCTGCGAGACCTTTTGCTGCGCCTTGACGTGCGTCAACCATTGACTTTGCATGTAAATTCGCTACTTCTGCTGCGCCTGCTGCGTCCGGTGTGAACGTAGCATTACACGTTTGTTGGAAGCAAGCAGAGCTTTCAAAGCAGCCAAGAGGTCTATAGTGGCTCTGGAGAAGCTGCAGAGACCCACGGCTTGTGTTGACATTAAAACCCGCAGGTATCAACAACGGAAGTGTGATTAGAAGAAAACCTTCGCTAAATGAAAACCATTAGAAGCCCTGATTGCAGTTTGTTAGCCGAGATTAAACCAAATTTAGATTGAATTCCTCATCGATGCAGTGACACATGGAGATGGGTTGGAATTTAATGTGAAGTAGACGGAGCCTTATACGGATCATAACCAAGAGGAAACATCTAAAGAACACTGGCTCCCTTTCAAACAAGCAGCCAAGGCTACAGTAGAGCTAAATTTGAGTGTCCTAGTCAAAGTCAGGCTTCCTGTTTAATTTAACTGAGCTTGAGTGTTTTTATTAAAACAAATGGACCAAAGGTTCTGCAACCTGTATGATCCAAACAACCCATTTATCATTTAGTTCAGTTAAATAAAACCTTTTAGAGATGCAATTGTTAAATAAACTTAAAATTGAAATCTCATTATTATTGATAAATATCTATTACAGGTAAGCTATTGTCATTTTTAATGAACTGCCATTTTATTTCTATTTTAATTTTAAAATGTATTTATCTGAGCTACATAAGGTTTAAGAAATGAAGACAATAACATTTGCACAAAATTAATGGTTAAATGTTTGTAATAAGAAGATATGATATAACAAAAAAACAAAAAACGTTTCAAACCCAATGAAAAGAGAAATGCATCTAAAACTAAAAAATTACTGTTACTTTTAGTGTCATTCTTTCAGAAATACAATCGAGTTTTTCTATGAACATTTAATTATTGCTCAAGCTATTGGTTTGGTCTTTGAAACTTTTGGCCAAAGTTATAGAGGTTAAAAAAGCGACTCATTCTAGAACAGGGGTCGGCAACCCAAACTGCTCAAAGAGCCATATTGGACCAAAAAAAACAAAAAATAAATCTGTCTGGAGCCGCAAAAATGTAAAAGTCTTATATAAGCCTCTTATGGAAACATGGGCTCTAAGCGTATTATCCAACTATAGAAAAGGACATTGTGGGCTTAAATATATAATAAGCATTCATGGTTAAATGTTTATCCTCGAGCAAATGTCACATAGCATGAGGTGAGGGAGGAGCAGTGAACGCTCCCATCGCGCGCAGTTTCATCTCGCGCCGCTTAACCGCCCTTCACCACGCGGTTTAAGTTTTGTTGCATTGATGAAATAATAGAAACACAATAAAGGAATTTTTCTATGCAGAAGTTCTGCAATCACACCTTTTCTCTTCCTCCCAGCTTGGTGGTTGGCTGCATATTTAGCTTGCCTTCCCTGGAAATGCCTTTCCAAATTTTTATTTTTATTTTTTGCCAACCTCTCATTACCAAGCAAAAATGCAGGCAATCCTTCCACATTGATAATGAAAGAAAATGATTCGTCCATTCTTTGAATCCTCTTTTCTCATCAGCTATCTTCCTTTTTTCCCCTTTGGGATCCATGGTCCGAAACACTCCAGCAGCTTTGTTTGCCTGGCTGTGACCCCTGATCTCTATGGCTATGACGCAAATTATTGTTTAAATTTATTTATTATACAAATGTTTACAGCATTGGAAAACATAATTATTTTTTTTGTTTGACCTCCTGCACACCATATTAAAACAAAACAAAAAAACAAAAAAACGATTTTCATAAATTTTTGAAAAAGCTCCAGGGAGCCGCAAGGGGAACGCTAAAGGTCTAGAAGGTCAACATAGATGGCTGAGGCATAAAATGAGCTGCTGTTGTTCCATAAAGTAGAGGATTAGATGGACCGAATACAGCAAATGTAAACCAAAGTTCTTACAACTTTTACACTGCAAAAAATTGAAAAGTAAAAATTAAGAGCATTTTCTTCTTGAGCAAGTAAGTGAGACATTTTGCTAATGGAATAAGGAAATTTACATTGAAAATACAAAAAGAAAAGCAGCTGCAGTTTCTTATTCAAGAGCACAATATCTAGTTAACTTATTGGGTAAAATTACTCATTCTATTGGCAGATCATCTTACTGTAGCAGTCATTCAAAATGTCCCCACTTTCCTTAGCTGGTCCCCTACAATTCCTTCTTAAACATCAATATTTGTACTAAAATATTATTTCTGTCATGATTTATGGACATTAATATCTAAAGAGAAGCATCATCTCCTGGTCAGAGTAATAAAATATGTAAGAGGGGGTCGCTGCAGTGGTTGGAAGATGGAGGGGATTTTGCTGGGAGTTGGAGTTGAAGGGACATTTTAAGTGGCTGCTACTGTATTCACCTGCTCAAATTAAAGGTAAATACATTTAATTTAACACATTGTTACAGTGTAATCAAAAAACAAGAAATGCACCAGTTTGATGGTTCATCGCAGGGTTAGAGAGCATTGAATCACTTTGAGAAGTGAAACAAGGCAGTGTCCCAAAAAGAAAATGGATCTGAAAGAGAGAAGATGAAGTTTTCCAGGAAATGAGAAAGCTGGTTAAAGAGTCGAAGTCTAGCAGGAAGGAACCAAAAATCAGGCTGTTAGTGAGTGACATCTCTAAAATAACAGTGTGACTGCCTGCAGGATTCTTTCAGTGGAAGCAAACAGCAGCCTGGCTGCGACTGAATGAGAGACTCTCCCCAGACTGCAGGAGCAGCGCGTCTCATTTCATATCCAAACAGAATGTGATGGAAAACCATGCAGAAGTGGAGGTTCACCGCACACTACAGACTGGGAGAACCCAAAGGGGACACAGAGGTGAGAGTGGGAGGGCAAACGAAGGTTAGTGACGCCACAGTCCCAAACAGTAGAAGAAGGCATGCTTTGAGCTCCAGCCCCTCTACCTTCAGCTCTTTAAGCCCTTGCATGTACCGCCCCTCTACATCCTGAATCTGGTCCTTTAGCTCATAGATATCCTGTAGAGGACATGGAGGGAATGGTTGGGGTGAACAGAGGTGGGTGGGGGGGTGCAAAGCAAACATGAAGCACCCATACAGCCATTTCACAGACTGACATAAACATTAAAGCCAGATTTAAGATGACAGCTTCATAGAACAGTCACATCCAGTCCTCTCATGCATACAGGGGGGAGAGAGTTAAAGACACACCCAGAAAAAGCAGGAAGAGCTCAGCAGAGGTACTGCTGTGGGGAGGCGGGGTCCACTAAAGGACTCAAACAGGTCAGATATACGTACAGGAACTAAGAGGAGAAGAGGAATGTGTGGAATCTCACCCGAAGTTCACTCAGACTGGTGTCAGGGTCATAGACGCTCCCCGTGTCGGTGCTTCCTCGCCGTGACGACGTCCCCCCCAGCGAGGCCAGGGCGGCTGCTGAGAGGCCAGGGGTGGTGCAGCGGGAAGACGGCTGAGGACGCCACAGAAAGTCAGTTTAGAAAAACACAAACGCACCTCTAAGTTTACACGATAAAAACCCAACATCTCTCTGAGGTCAAAAAGGATGAGATCATTTTTTTTTTTTAAGTTTCAAAGGGGAAGGTGACGTTATTCTCTACAGTTCAACTGAACAACCTGATAGAGGTCTGAGATAAAAGGCACCGATGGTGAAATAACCACCTTAAATAAATGTTCACACCCTTAAACTAACACTGACTCTATTCAAAGTTTTTGGATCATAGCTGCCTTTAGTTGAAACATTCAGCTGTTCTGGAAGGATTCCTCTGATATCTGATTCCTCCAGAAAAAGCTGTAACCTGTCGAAAAATTAGAGGGAATCAAAAGAATCTTGCAGTACAAAGGAATCAGTCAGGAGGGGAGAACAAACTAATCCACAATGTGGAGTATAAACACAACGGGCATGTCAACTAAAGACAGTAGTGACAGATTTAAAAAAAAAACTGCATTTTTCTACAAAACAAATCCAAACTGGAGATAAAAACTGGTGATGTTGGCAGCAAGTTCTCGATGTTGTTTTATTTTTTTTTTTACCTGCATCAACATTCTGGATTCTCTATACGTCTAAACTAAGGAGAATGGAGGCAAGGAAAGTTTAAAATGGAGGCATAAAATATACTAAAAAACTTGGAAAAGGTGGGTTGTTAAAACTACAGTTGGTAATTCAAACCTCAAACTGAAGGTGGATTATAGTAAAAGGCTAAATTCATATCTATTCCTCTGGCCAGGTAGCCCCTCCCCATTGCTGCACCTTTAATGAGAACCAGGTGGACTCAATCTCCTAGCAATCAGAGAGTGCAGGTATTTTTGATGGGACTGATCCTTCACTGTGTTTGAAGAACTGGAAGCACATGCTGCTGCACTTTAGAAATAGAAATGTCTTGAGAGCTTTACTAAACGAAATTTCATTTTTTATACATTTGTGTATAAAATGAGGATAAAGTCTGTGTAAGTCTGAAGTCATGTTAAGTCAGAACTGTGCAAGTTTTCTGTAAATTGTAAGGGACAGCCAATAGGCCTTTTGATGCTGTTGATTTTCCTGAATCTTGTTGGAGCAGCACAAATAGAAAAAAAACAAAAACACTTGTTTATTTTTTATGGAAGAATGTGAAAAAGAATAAATGTTTAATGTAATTTTGACTACAAATATTTGACAAAATGTCAACAAATATGCTAATTTATTTATTGTTGTTGAATAACTTTAAAATATTTGCTATTTATGGAATACATGGTTTAAAGGGGTGGAAATTTGTTTTATCATTTCACAATGTATCTTGTTAATTTCAAAATAAAAGATGTGCTTCTGTTTCTTTTGAGGTTTTTCACCTATATGACTAGAAGGCTATGGTGCAAAAGCAAAGATGGATAAACTAATTTGAAGGCTCTTTGAGTGAAATCCAGTTAAAGGAGAAGTCCAGTCATATTCAAGATTCTAACTTTTTGGGGGATTTTTTTCAGCACTAGTGGCTCGTTTTTCTGACAGTAGGCTGACCCCTTGCTCACACTGGCTCCGCTGCGATTACCGAGCCGATGGAGACCGCAACTCCCGCACACCCCCTCTCACACCGCCCTTTTGACTACGGTGCGGTGCGGCTCTGGCAACAGGTCCGGAGATTTAACTCGCGAGAACAGAAGTTCACTTGAGTTCACGTAACTTCACGCGATAACACGGCCCAAATAAGGATATTTGCGAGAGCTTGTTGCGGAGGGCTCCGGCACGCCGCAAGGATAGCTTTCTTGCTGAATTTTTTGCAGCGCCGGAGTGTCTCGGTAACCGCAGCCGGACAGCTCAGCAGCCGGTGAGAGAGGTTTACGTCTTTTTAATGACTTGGAATCACTGCGGCGCCGCACCCACCGCACCGCAACGGTAAGACCGGAGTTGGTGTGAGCCGGGGGTGACAGGAAAGGGGGTATGAGAGAGGAGGAGAGACATGCGGCAAAGGACCACAGGTCGGACTCGAACCCAGGTCGGACACGTCAAGGACTAAGACCTCCGTACATGGGTTGTGTGCACTAACCACCTGCAAACCCAGAATTCAAACTTCTAAAAGTACTTTAAATATGAAATTATTCCATACTGTTCAATAAAATATAGGTGTATTAATTAAGAGTAGTTTTCATGTGAATGTGCTTTACTGGAGGCATCCATGTTTGTCAAAGAACGCTACTGCCACCTACTGGTTTGTGACGTCACGGTGCGGTATCGGCTGTTGATCAAGTCCCAGTGCTGTATCTGGTGTTTGTCACAACGCGCTATTATCCAAGTCATCTTGAAAACATTCTTCTTCCAAATGTTGGCTACATATTACGGGTTTTTTCTCTGGCCAGAAGTTCGATGGCAAATCCTCCCTCTTCAAGTTGGCGATCCAACGATGAACCCGTCCGTGGAGGATCAGGAATCAGAAAGGTGAAATAACTATTTTATTCACTTTTACCGGATGTATTCCAGCATCCAGCTGCCATGCACGTGGGCATTGTCAGTTTCACTATAGCTCTGGTAAATTTCAATGGTGAAGTACTCTGGAAATCTTCAATAATTGTTGTTGATTGCAGATGTGTCTAGTAGTTCCCATTGATTTAGCTTGTAAAGCGGGGAGAATGGCGCTAGGCTTACCGCACCGTGACGTCACTGCTGGAAGATGGCAGGAGGGAGGGGTTACTACATTTGTGCAAAAATGGCTGCTTCCAGACTCAGTGATCGCGACGAAAATGATTGTTTTAATTTTTTACTGATTAACTCTAAATTCATAAATCACCACAAACATTTTAAGTATAAATAATTGGTTATTCCTTGCTGATGGGACTTTTCCTTTAAGTTTTATAGCAGATACTATCCTTTTCATGTGGGGAATCGCACAGTAAACCAAACGTAATACTTGACATCAATTCAAGACTAAAGTGAGAGTCATCTGAAGGGGGCTGAGCGTTTGCATTATAATGTACAGAATCCATCATTCTCTCATGTTAAATGACTTTAGAAGTCTGGTTAAATAAAACAACCAAAAAATAAAATATATAAACAAAGAGGATAAATATCAATTTCAGACGTGAAAGCTAAATAAAGACTGAATGCTCAAGCAAAATCAAAGGAGCGTTAAAGATGTTAGCTAAAGGGTTCCCAATCATGTTTTTAACTTATCCTGAGGGGGGCGCTATTATCTGGTCTTTTCTTAATCCAGCCAAATAAGCTCATGATCTCCATTTCCTGTGAGCTTGTTAGATCAGGCTTTGTTGACATCCTGGTAACTATAGTTACCTGTAACCCATACTTTATCCTTCGGGGGTAAATTTAACTTAACTTTGAATCTGTTTTTATGTTGCAGGCGAAGGAAGGATAATTGCAAAAAAAAAGAAAATCAGAAAACAGAAACTTGTCACATGCAAGTGTTTAATACAGACTTAGTCTGTAATTAAGCCGACTGCCTATTAAATAAATCCTGTATAATAACTGTGCCGGAAAAGCTTACTTACCCGACTAAAATCTGAAAACTGCTTTTCACATTTTTCATCCAGCTGAAACAGAGAAATAAGATCATTTGATTAGTAGGAGACCATAAAGAGAAGTGGAGGAGCCTGGTCTGCTGTAAATCAGAGAGTTAGATCAAACAGTGTTAAAAGTCTGGCATAAGTGCTGCATGTTCACAAACAAAACACCCCATACAGATTAAACATGTCCAACTTTCTACAGCGTGCTCCTGCAAACACAACCTCTATCGCCTTTACCGTCATTAGTTAGTTAATCATGTTTTCAACAATGTCTTCATGAGCAAATGTTATTTCCCATCAGGCATCATTCCCTTCAAGGCGTCAGGCTCAGATTTAATCGGCTGCACAGCAATCCCTCGGTCCGGACACTTACAGCATCCAAATCTGGAATGCTCAACTCATCGAGGTCGGACACAATGCTGCCCCTCCGGTTGGAGCGGCTGAAATAATCAGCGGCCGACTCGCTAATGTCCGAGAAGTCAGAGGACTGCTCACGACACACAGGAATAGGAGAGCAAAACATGAGAGAGACGACCAGAGAGACACGGAGAGGAAGAGTTTAAACTTACAGTTTAAAAACAAGCAAAGAAAAAAAGCAGAACAATAAACTGGGTATCTCTTCAAGCTAGGGATGCACCAATCAGACTGTTCCTGCAGGTTCCCATGAGTTTAATGTAGGACTATTTAAAATTATTTTAATTACATTTATGGATAAACATAACCCAGCTGACACTGTTGAGACATTAAGATCTACAGCACAGCTTTATTTTTTAATATATAATGAATATCTGAACTAATTAGTTTAGCTTGTGTAAGGGAGGGAGGGTGTTAGACGTGTTTTGTTGAAATTTGTTATTTTAGTCGAGCCAAAGGTCTGCTGTTAGGTAAGGCTCCCCCAGCTGAGTCTGAACAAAGTCCACTGGCAGGTTGGCTGGCTGCTGGAAAAGTTAACAAAAGGCACAAAAAAAGTTGAAACTATTGGTAGGATATAATATAGATAATAATAAAAAAAATATAAAAAAATTTATTAAAAATGATTACAGGGTCTGTTATAAATGAATCGCAATTTAAGCACAAACTAAAGAAACCAACTTTTTCATTCAAAAAAAACCTATTTTGCTCCTCAATTGCTGAATAAGTAATCATATGAGCACAGCAACACACATTTATTGTATTTAATCGATTAAATGAACATCTCTGTTGGATAATGTCTCCCCCCATGCATGAAGCTGGTGCTGAACTAGAGAGCTCCTTCAGTGACAGACTGCTGGACCTTAAATGCACCAGGGAGCGTTATCACAGATCCCGGAAGACTTTATAACCACCACTGTTCCCAACAACCTCAATAAGTTGTTCCATTTAGGCTTGTCCCGATCCGATCCACGTATCGGATCGGACGCTGATATTGGCAAAAAAATGCGTATCGGCAAAGAATGTAAAAATGCCGATCCAGACTGCCGATCCAGTTTAAAAAAAAGAAAAATCTGGTCCGTATTTTCCAGTTTCGCCGATTGAAACGATCCATTCCACTATTTTGTGCCAGTGTTCCCCGAATCCGGTCCGCATTTTCCAGAACACCTTCAACACATCCACAGGTCTTTTTGGGTCTGTCTCCCGGCCTAACCATTAAAACAGGTGAATTGGAAGATAGCGGGGAAAATGTCAG